TATTCCCTGTCTGCTGACCTCAGTTATACGTCGGAATCGCTCGGACCTTTTTGCTTAGGCGATCGACGACTGCTCGAATCGCGGTCTGTCCACTGCGATTCCGGTAACTGGAGGATCACATCGCATGGGTTGTGGTGGTATAGTCTAGTTGGGATCTCGTTCGGGCTTGAGCAAGTCCTTATAGGTTTATCCTTGCATGGTCTTCGTTCGTTGGCCTGTAGGGCATCCAGGTACGTATTTCTTGACGTCCCTGTAGATAGACGGCCCACCAGTAATACCTTAGTATCAACTCGCAGGTTTTGGCTTGTCCCGGATGTCCAGCTAGATAGGTATCGTGATGGAATCGCATGACCTCGTTCCTCAGCGCGGAGTCGTTTGGGACATAGATTAATCCGTCTTTCTCGATGTAGTCACCTTTGTCTACGAATCGCGTATCCTCCTTCATTCTTTCCGTCACTTTCTCTTCCCACTGATCCTTCAAGCTTTTGATTTGGTCCAAGAAGATCTCTCCCGGGGTTCCTTCTGCTCTCATCGCGACCGGGTCTTGCGAGTTTAGGGCGCGAATAAAATCTTTTTTGAGTAGGGTGATTCCTTCATTGTCATTTTCCCCCCTCTCATGTCCCTTTCGTCTCGAAAGAAGGTCTGGTTTCTTCTGTGACACTCCTGGTTTGTGAACCAACTTGAAGTCATAATCTGCGAGTTCGACACTCCAGCGAGCCTGTCTGCGATTCAGATTTTTTGAAGTCATGAAGTATTCCAAATTCTTGTGGTCGGTCCAGATTTCGAATTCAGGACCCAGGAGATAATGACGCCACTCCTTCAGAGCTCGCATAATCGCAAGCATCTCCTTGTCATGAATGTCGTAATTCCGTTCTGTCTCGTTTAGACCTTTAGAAAGGAACGCGATTGGCACCCAAGAGCCTTCTTGCAGCTGAGATAGCACCGCCCCAGTCGCAAAATTCGAGCTATCTGCCTCGACGCGATATGGCGCGCCATCCACGGGAAAGTGAAGAACTGGTTCGGAACATACTGCATCCTTCAAGTCCTGGAATGATTTCTCCTCTTTCTCCCCCCACAGCCATTCGCTAGATTTCTTGGTCAAGTCGACCATTCCTCTGGAGAGGCGCGAATAATCGCGAATGAACTTCCGGTAAAAAGTTCGTGAATCCTAGAAAACTCTGTACATCTTTCACGCAATCCGGCGTCCCCAGTCGCGAATACCCGCGACTTTCACTGGGTCCATGCGGATTTTTCCATTACCCACAATCATACCCAAGTATTCCACTTCCGGCTTGTGAAATTCGCACTTCTCCGGCTTTAGGTACAAGTCGTATTTCTCCATAATCGCCAACACCTCGTTCACAGTCTCCCGATGCGATTCCATGTCTTCTGAGAAAATCAGAATATCGTCCATATAAACCAAGACACGACCGGCTTGAATCAAGTCCCCGAAAACCTCGTTCATCATCGTCTGGAAAGTCGCAGGAGAGTTCGTTAGGCCAAAGAACATAACAAGAGGTTCGAACAACCCGCGATTTGTTACGAAAGCCGCCTTCCATTCGTCGCCTTCCTTAATGCGAATGTTGTTGTAACCCCATCGAACGTCGAGTTTCGTGAAGTACTTCGCGGATCGCAACTTGAACAAAACGTCGGATACCAGAGGAAGGGGATATCGGTTCTTGATTGTCATGGCGTTCAATTTTCGGTAATCTTGTACTGGTCGCAAAGACCCGTCTTTCTTCTTGACAAAGAAGAACGGAGATGCGATTGGCGATTTCGAAGGTCGAATACGACCGGTTTGGAGGTGCTCCTCGATGAACTTGTCTAGATCCTTTTGTTCGTCAATCGACAAAGGATACAATTTACTTTTGAATGGCTCCGCTCCTGGGATCAGTTCAATCGCATGATCCCACTTCCTTCGGGGTGGTAAACTATCCGATTCCCCTTTTTCGAACACTTTTCGATACCTGGAGAGGTACTCCTCCGGTACCAACTCTTCTATAGCTTTCTTTCCTTCGGCAGTTGCGTTCGCAGCAGCTAACTTCGTCGCAATGGAACCCATTGCGCGGATTCGTTCTTCCGTATCCTCATCGGGTCGCATCTGAGTCATGAAGATGCGATCACCTTCTTCGATATCTTCATCATCTTCCTCGGCCCAAATCGCAGCCAGTCTGCGTCGCTTGCATTCCGCGGGACACCGGTCGAATATTAGTTTTCCCTTTGCCCAGTCCACCGAAGGATTATGATGTTTTAACCAGTCATAGCCAATGATGATATCACTGTCGCCGGTGTCGGTTACTGCGAATGTCGTAACCTCCGTATGATCGTCAATCGACAATCGCAGTCGAACGACATGGGAAATCCGTCCCGAACGATTCAACGTTCCATCGGCATTATAAACTGGAATCGGTCGTGGAAGGGGTTCGCAGTCAATGTGATTGTCTTCTGCGAATCGCCGATTAATATAGCAACCTGTAGCACCACTGTCCATGAACGCATCTGTGACCATGCCTCGATGGGAGTGCAAAGCTTCCAGCGTGCAAGGGAGTCGCATACTGTTTCCCTGGATCTATGCGAATCCACTTCCTCGGGGCCGCAAGTTCTTTAATAGCGTCAATCGCGTCCTGGTGAAAACTAGTTGCGAGCCTATACAATAGTTCCTCATCGAGTTCGACAATCCTCTCGGGGTGGATATGGCGTTTTAGCAGTTCTCTTCCCTTCGTGGGTTTATACTGTAGGCACCAATAGATCCAATACGGTCCTCGTTTGTTTCGGGGCATCGGAAGTTCTGACTTCCTTTCCTGTTCTTTCGCAACCTTCCTTCTGCTGCGATTCTTCTTTCTATCATTGATGCGATTCAAAATCGCAGGTGCTTCCTCTTCAGACTCTTCTGTTGATACGGTTTCGGGGTCACTAAAATCACTTTCATTCGTAAGTATCGAGAATCGATTATTCCTATCCCATGCCGTAGGAGACGTATCCTTCATCCTACGTGGCTTTAAAAACCCTGCTCCCTCAGCAACTCTTTGTTCTTCCACGGGTATATCCTTGACATACTGTCCCGAATCATCTGTTTAACTCTCTTGGCACGGGGTTTGCTCAGAATCGGGATAGATGTTCTACACCTCCACAGTTGTAGCAGAGCGTATTCTTGCTGACGGGGTACGAGTGGTGCGATTGCGGTCAATTTCCATGGGTTTGCCTGCCCCCACCATACGTAGTGCCAGTAGGAGTCTGGGTCGTTGCGATTTCACCGCTAGTCGCGCTCGATGTAGATGCAGATGGGGTATAGTTGTTGTATGGAGTGCGATATGTTCGTGGTATTGGTGCGATTAAGTGCGACTATTGGTAAGAGGGTCGTGTCCTTTGGAGGACTCGCATATTCTGGTCGACCAAATCGAACTTAGTCGCAGCGGTCTTCCATCCCGTGTAAGTGTCGGGAGTAGTCTCCATACCGTAAATGCGTTTGGCGATGTCCAATGTCAACTGTTGCTTGAGTCGCATGATGAGGGCCTTGTCATCAAGACCACTGTCCTCTTTATATTGTTCGAAGGACAAAAAACGAAGTCATTCGCGGTTCGTTTCCCTTGGTAGATTGCTTGAATACGTCTTTGAGCGACATCTTCCTGGTTACCGCCTCCGAACGCAGTGCGAATATGCTTCTTCAGATCTGCATAAGTCCCTGGTGCGCCTCCTGCTTCATTACTTCGGGTCCGGTTAGCCGACCATTTGGCTGCGGAACCCTCCGTCATCCATGCAAGGGTCTCGAGGACTTTAGCTTCGTCTGTTTCGAATTTCTTTGCTTTGTTACGGAAGTATAGGTAAAGTTGACTGAAGAATGAATCTACCATGCTCGGGTTTCCCGTCGAATGCCTTTGGTTTGGCGTCGGATTTAGTATTCGCGTTTGTTCCGACCGAACTAGTGTTGGTGTTAATCTCTGTGACTTTGGTCTGGAGATCGGTAATCGCATGGATAACACCGTGTTGTTCTTGTGTAAGGGCGCCAATTGCTTCCCAAATCCTAAGATTCAAGAGCCGGCCCTGTTCTGCTTCTGTGAGTGATTGGTACCACTCGGCCGTACCCGGTACTGGTGGTTGGGGTGGCTGTGGTATAGGTTCGTCCATGTTAGCCATGGGATCGATAGGTGGTTCATCCATCTGAGCCGGGTCTTTAGGGAACTCAATGGTTCAACCTAGAGATGCGTAATCGCGAGTAGGGGACTAGTCGTAAGGCTAGTAGTGAGGAGAATTGTCGACGAGTTACTCAAGGGGTACTCTAGTCTAATGTCAAGACTTAGATTCCGCGAGTCGCGAGTAAGTCGTCAACGAGAAATGTTTGAGAATCGCGAGAATAAGTCCCTGGGTTATTAACCAGACTAGAGTAAGGAATCTACAATATACGGCTAAGGTTTATATACTATAAAGTAAGGAGTACGATCGATCTAACTGTCAAAGAGGTGCTTTAGCCATTGGCCACCGCACGATAGGTGATCGCGACCGGATAGGACCTGTCGCGATCACGGTAGAACGGGAAATGTAATAGTAAGTGATCGTCGATCTGTGAATAGTCGCGAATAGGGGTCTGAGCGACTATTCGCAGTAAGAAACAATGAAAGATAAAGAAAAGAAAATAAGTAAATCGCGATTTGAGGGAGTTCATGACATTCACCCACCGAAATCGAGGTGAGGTAGTAGTACAGAGATGTCTCCAAGAGCTCGAGTACCCTTGTCTCTTATCAACTACTGCTAGTAGCAACATCGCCAGTACCACAGATCCGCTAAAAAGAATTTAAATATGCTTACGCCACTGAGGCCATCCTAAATTTAATCAGCATGACATTTCCGTCGGAGTTTCACTTTGAAAGTGGTATTGTAAACGTCTAAGTTATACCATATGGGGTGCGAACAGACCCATGAGGCAATAGGCAGTATCCTCATCCTTGGTCATCACCCTATTCGCTGCCCAGGACATCCTCCGTGCAATTAATCTTTTGATCAGTGGAGGTATAACTCAGTTGGGAGAGCAGCAAACTGAGGTTAGCACATATTCTGAAGGTCCCACGTTCAATCCGCGGTACCCCACCAGATGCGGTAGAACTTTTGTATAAATAAGGATAATATCTCCTCACGACGTTTGCAAAAGTCAAGGACAGTTAATAAGGGGGTATTTCAGGATAATGCTAGGTTGGGAAACTGGTCTAAATATGGATAATATAGTCATATATAGGCTAGTACTGACCCAGGAATTAAGTAAACTTGCCCCCCCTGGATTCGAACCTGCCCAGCAGCTAGTATTGTTAGGGTTAGGGTTAGGGTTAGGGACAGAATGGCTCCAACCAGCTCTGGTGATGTTGCTACCTTTCCACATCCATCCAAACAGGCAATTTGACTTTAGGAGGGCTTCCTATGGTATTAGTAAGCCAATACAGCCTGGTTTAAGACAACTTTGGACTTATTATAAATTATTATTTTAATAGTTGTCCTTGAGTTTTACAAAAGTGTCTACAACCTCTCGTAATAATCATCCTTGACTTTTACAAAAGTATCTACAGCCATTCGTGCTGTCTTTACCCCTACTAATACTTGTCCTCGACTTTTGCAAACGTCGTGAGGAAATATTATCCTTACTTTTACAAAAGTTTTACGGTATCAGCTGGGTACCATGACGGCGTTTACAATGCTTGAAGGACGGAGGAAAGATGTTGTGCATATATTGAATACGGGGGTGATCAAAGAAAGATGAGGAACATGGAAATGTCCGTCCTAACGATGACAGTGATCAACTTTTGGTAGTCAGAAGACTCTGATCAAGCGAAGTCAGAAGTTTGGATTATCGGTTAAAGGGGTGGTTAAAGGATTTCAATGGCACAGGAGGGGTGAAACCAATGAGCGAAATATTTGATAAATCATTCAGGAAGTTTGACCCGAGGCTGGTCAAGTATTAAAATACTTATCGAGCAATTAATTAGGTGTAGGTAATCCACTGATTTTACTAAACTCATGCTTAATCAGTCCAAGAAATAAATTTTTCATTATGCTAATACAAATAGGTGAAATCAACCTTCCAATAAATAGTGGCACCTCGAAGCTATGACATGCTAAAAACCATTTGATCTTTGGAGTATCAGACAGCGTGAGCTTGACTATTGGATTTGTGATCCAGGTCACTCAACGGATAAGAGTCTATCTCTACCACAGCTGAATCACCTTTTTGCAGTGGCTGCCCAAAGCTTTGTACATTTTGAGTTGAACTCGGAATCACAGATGGGTTTGGTGGTAGAGAATCATCCATTGAGCTTGAAAGCCCTGATAAATTCACCCTTGCTGATCTTGTTGACCTAGTAGGGTTTGCCTCCCAGGAAGTGGCATAAGGCACAACAGTGTTTCCTCGGATATTGTTGCGAGCATTCAATGCTGCAAGGAAACTATTGACATATACTAAGGCAGTGTTTTTAGATTTGAAGATCGTGACCACGGAGTTATACAAGGAGATTTCATGGACTTACAATGTACTGAAATATAATCGATGGAATATCCGGAAATATTGTTGACATTGACTATTATCATGATGGTTTGAGCGACCCCTACAATCCTGCATGAAAATGCTTTTGAGACACAAAATAGAAATTGCCACTTTGATCACTTACGTTGTAAGGACAAGGCGGTTCATCGCATATATCATGATTGTCCTAATCAACTTCACGGAACTTTACCAAAGTGAGTGCCAGGATAAGAAAAATCAATAAACATGGGACATTACAATTCAGAGATTGGCACTTACCTCTTGAAATGAGCCTCGGTATCGTACAGAATCAAACAAAGAGATGATGTTGTAGCTATATCGGATATCATTCGAAGCACACGATGCGGAATCAAGAGTTTTGGAGCCCATGGAAGAAAATCTTTGATGGTAGTGGATTGAAACCTGACAGAATTAGTCCGAATGATGAAAAAAAAAGTTGCTCAACCCTGATGAGAATATGCTCACTCTTTGACAACCCAGCCTAAAAAATCCCATTCAGATTACAGCATAAGTTGTATTTCTAGAAAATTTGAAGCTTAAATAACGACTCACATAGTCCAAATGCTGCAACCAGGATGATGAGATTAGTCCGATTTCTAGTATGAGAGTCGGAAAAAAAGCATAATCTAAACATTCATACCAAATTGACCCAAGATGCAAACCGCCTATTTCTACCTGTCAGGTATCTCCCCTTTCCATTCGAAGGTAAAATGAACTCACAAAAGCCAGCATTAAGAGATGTCTCCGAATCCCGGCCTTCATCACTAAGACAAAAAAATTAAAAATTAAAACAAACACTTATCCTTATTTTCTGTTCTTACAATGATAAATCATTCTAGCAAAAAAGCTAAAGCTGATGTCAGTAGCAAGAAAACTGAATTTTACGAGAATTGAGCGGATTACGTTTGAACTAGTACCACAACAAGATACTGGACACCTTCAGTTAATCTCTCCGAAAGAAATTTTGTCCGGATGTACGTACATTCATGATAGCGCCAACCTGATAAGATGTTATTCATACTTGAAAGCAGAGGAGAAAAATAGCATGAAATACGTACATACACAGTCCAGAATCCAGAATCCAGAACTGATAAGTCCGTGTAGCTGATAATCTAGGCACAAGCACACAATCAGCCATCGAAGTTCAATCTAAAAGAATACGTGTTACTGACGACGTAACGGTATATCAGTTGACAGACTGTCCCGAATGATCTGTTTGGTAATGCATCGAAAATAAAGGATTGAAGATTGCTCACGAAATCCTGACTGTATTGTTGTAATTGTTCTACATTCATCCAACTTAGAAGACTTGGCCATTAATGAAATAGAAAAAAACGTCCCCATACCCTATGAGTGAGACCTAGAAGTGATTGAGTGACAAGCGGGATTTTATCCATAATATTTTACTTACTAGTAACTTGATCCACCGAGTATCCTTCTGGTAATTTAGAAAATACATGTACATCTTTGCGCAGAAAGGTAGATGAAGCTCCAGAAGACTGCGGAAGGGCAACTTGAAGTTCTTACCTGGAGAACAGATATGCCATAGAGAAAAATTGCAATAAAGCCACAGATTAGGATACCGCCTATGTTGTAGGTGGATAGAGACATCAGGAAGTAACAATGAAGTTTGTATCAAGATATTGTTACCATAAGATGTAGCAAATGTACTCTGAGATACAGGAGTAGGACGGTCAGGAAGGGCAGACATGTCTTACAGATCTGGGGGTGCGAAGCTCTTTTTTATCGGTGAGTTCAGCCAATGACCTGCTACACCACACGACATTTTTCCCGCAAAGAAGTTGCTAACAAAGATACATCTTGAGAAATACCAGCAGAGCCTAGAGCGACGACTCCAATCCCATGATCAGGATCTTTATCAGTGGAGGATGTCCAGGAAGCTGATTGATAGTTCAGTGGCACGGAAGCAGTGTTTAATGTGTGGAGAATATGGCATCTTATGATAATACCCCCCAATCAATATTTCAGATTGAGTTAAAGAACACAGTTCATCATAGGTACGCAATGACGTGCCAAAAGGATACTTCGAATTCCCAAGGAATAAGAGTTTACATCTGCTCGCACAAGCCACCGCATTAATTTATATGGTACACAGAGAAAGAAAAAATCCCATAATTCGAAACTGAACATTATGTGATTCACAGTTCATCGGCAATCAGTATGAGGTCAAGTGGCCAACGCGAGCGTGGCAAGTACGAGGCTGGCCGAGGTCGGAAGCTTCTGATCCAAACAGGATCACATCGGTGATGGACTCGGGCTGGAAGTTTCGTGAAAGAACAATTCCTAAACTCCGGCCTCGTATCAAATCTTCGAAGTCATACACTTATCGGTGTGTTCAGTTGAGGTGCCCAACCTTCGGTCTCCTCACGCCCTTCTAAGGAGATTAATTTAACTCAATATCGCCGTTCGCTCAAGTAATTTTCCAGTCTCCCCATTCGCTGACTTGACAGAGATCAGACGCGTTGGGATGATTGATAGATGTCACTTAAGACTCTAATCAAGTTCAAGATTCCACACACACACACCCTGAATGTTTCCTTCCATGCCAAACCCCTTAAGTGACAGACATGTTGCGAATCTTTGATATGTATAACTTGAACCTTGTGAAGGTTCAACGATGACACGGGCACTTACCTAAAAGGATACACGACACAGGTCCTGCTCCAGAGGCAGTCATACTATGGAATCCATCGATGAGACGAACACTAACGGAAGAGGTCCAGACGCCAGACGAGGCTCGCGGTACAGGTCTTGCTGCGGGCTTACACATGGTCTCAAAGACGAATGGGTCAAGAAATTGACTGCACTACACGAATCAGAACTTACTTTAAATAAAGATGCTTTAGCCGTTTTTTGGTCCCCTGCGTTGCCTATTAATAGGTGTCTCGCGAAATTTTTGGTATTTTGAGCATGAGTACCGCTACTAGTGCGGGGTTCAGTTCCGGAGAGCCCTAGACTATTGAGACTCGTTTTGCATGTGCATGCGCTCATTGGATCAGATTTCAATCGTATCCTTCGTGGCCAGGAGTTGTCCGAATCTTCTTGCTGTACCGAGTTGTCGTCGGGTTCAATGAGAACCGCATGCTCAGCATCTGCCTTTCAGAGACTGAGGGTTCATCTTCTGAAAACGCCTGCCTTGACATATATATGTACACATAGCTATAGAATCGATGTGATCAAGTTATTGACGTTGTGGTTCTTTTTCTTGCAGTGTGAAATTTTGGAGAGCCCGAAGCTGATAAAGCGTGACGCGGCCATTGGACGCAAGCTAGTACTGGCCAGCCTAGAACTCAAGTAGAGGAAAGAAGTCAGAAAAAAATTCGGTTGCGGACTTCAGCTGAGGGTGAATTTTCGGAATTCCCCAGCTACTTTCACACGGTTCTAACCTCTTGAATTCTCTTACTCTTTCTCGTACTTCTAGTACGTTTTGAATCAGTCAAGACGTATACACCCGTCTATCTGAATGGCTTCGCAAACAGAACCATCGGTATGCATGTACTACAACTCCAGTGACTAACAAACAACGAATATCTATAAC